TATATATATATATAGGTTTTGATATCTCTTATTCCTCTATATATTAATACAAATATTTGTTGGCTAATAAAAAAAAAAGTACATTTCTCCCTCCTTTTTCCTTTCATGATAAATAAACACTTACACAACCATAACAAGAAAAACATTTAGTCTATATTAATTTTATTATATTTTTATACTCCTTTACATACACATTACCAGAATATATAATAAGAAGACAGAAAATAGAAAAAAAAATGAATAATCTTTTGCTTACTCTTTTTTTGTCTTTAAAATTGTAAATGTTAATTACTTTAATTCCTTATCTTATAGAATCTTCATTTTATCTGTAACTATATAATTTTTTTTATTACTTTAATCTTTTCTGGTACAAAATGATTGTCAAAAGAAATTAAAAAATATTTTATAATATTACGAATTAAAGTGAATATTTTAGAAAGCAAAAACATATAAATTAAAATAACCAACAGCTCTTATAAAGCGATTAAAAGGAATATTTGCTTCGAAGAAAATAGGGTTAATTGTTAGGTGGTATAGAAGTCTATCAAAACTATTTCTAGAAAATAATTCTTGCACAACTAAATACAGTTTTAAAATAAACTAGAATAAAAATAAATTATTTTTTTTTTAAAAAAAGTTACAATAATCATAACAGTATGAAAAATGAAATTTTTTTTGTGAAAACTATTTAAATATCATCTTTTTTTTTTTTTCTTATCATTTATGTCTATAGGTATTGACCTATTATTTTCATCAAGAATAAGCAATTAAAGGATATTAATTTTTCGTTACATATGGTGTGTTTTTATTTATGGTCATCCCATAAAAAGGCTGAAAACCCTGTATAGATTCATCTAATGCAATTCACTACAGCAAACTGCAAAGCATTAACAAAATGAATGAACCTTATCTAACCATAATGATTATTGAAATTTAATAGAGAATGTTGAAGTTGTAAATGCATGGCGTCTTAACTGATCATAAACAACAATCTTTCAGGTAGTTCAATTTACTACACGACATTAGTAACGTTGCAGTGCAAAGAGCAGTGTGCACACATCAGAAAATTCTACTGCAAATCAAAATATTACAAATTTATCTTTTATCTTTGGAATATGGGAACAAAACCCATGTGTACCTCATATATGAACCGACGGTGTGAAAAAATTATACCTTCTTTAAAAAAAAAAATAAACCAAAAATCTTCCTGTTATTTTCGTTATAAAACTTCATCTCAGATACAAGACTGAGTAGTGTAAAAGATTTATACTTCTATATTTACCAAAGGAAAAAAAAAAAAAAAAAGTTATACTTCTATGGCTAAGTGGTAGTACGAGAAATGCTAGTTAATTCAGTCAGATCTGGTTCATTATGATGCTTTTACAGCTCTAGCTAGCTAGCTAGCGCTAGGTGGGAACCATCTTAGCGGTGTCTTTATCAGCTTGCTGTTTCGTGCCCATAATTGGAACCTCACCAAGGTACCTTATTCCATTGACCATTCTCATCAAGTAACGGATTATGTTAATCAGATATGTGGGCTTTCCTGATTATGATTTAAGAAGCATATATAGCTGCTTTACACTCATGATCTCCATAAATAAAGTTGGCTTCGAATCCCATTGTGCAGAACATAATTTTTAGTGGAGGGAATATCCTAATCCTGCTTTCCCCAATTTTTAATTGCATCAGCATAGATGTTCCTCATTATTTTAGGGAGAGGGTATTATTAGATTCCAAAACACACAACAATAAATAATACCATTAAGAAGAAAACCGGGAAATATTTGTTAAATCAAAATCATATAAAAGTGATTGAATGCATGTCCTTAAGTAATTTAAGATAAGATATTTTTTATACGTAAAATAGTAGAATGAAAAAGACACTCTCAATTATAACATACTTGGACTACCGATTGAAGTTCATCTGAAAAAAAAATAAAAATTACTGCATGCGCAAGCTCGAACAGGAAGCAGTTCCATCTAAAAATGGTAGAACAGCAAGGACACAATAATTAAACAAGTGAAGTAAAAATACACTTGTCCGTTTCCAGCGCCAAAGCTAGAGAGGAGGAAGTCTTGAATTGAAAATGTTTTGAAGGGAGACAGTAATTAAGGAGGAAGGGGCATGAAAGTTGAGATTCCACGTTTTCCCTTTGGCGAGGAGAGAGACCCAATCATGCATTGAATACTGGGATGGCCCATCAAATGAAGGGTCCTGATTGATGGAATGGTGGGGCATATCCCAGTAGGGTCATTAAGAGTCACGATGGATCTTTCTGTGATGCCAGCAACTGCTCCATTAAAAGGGCTAAAAGAAAATTAAAAAAGAAAACAGAAGATGGAGAATGATCCACCTGTTTGTCAGTGACATTGTACATTGGTTTGGGCAATAACCAGCAGCCGGACCCCACCACCTGAGCCAACACCTGGAACCGATAAGGTTTTGACCCCACCGTCCTATTACCCCCATCTCTCTCAAAAATCTTAATCATTGATGCAGTAAACCTCGAGATTCATGGCAGAGATTTAGAATCAGAATGATCAAAAAGCAATGTAAATTTAATATTTTACATTAGTCTTGCGGTAACACTGTTTCATCCCTTTTACCACACGAGCAAGCTCTGTGGCTGTGGCCCAGAAAGAGAGATGGAGAAAAAGAAAAAAAAAAACCCAAATGCCTGTTAGGTGGGAGACTTAGCAAAGGTCATGCCATGGAATGCAAGTGAGTCGTTTTCTTCTCTTTTAACATAAAAAGCATAAAATTACAAACCAATTAATTAAAAGCCTATGAGAATTGAGAACAAAAAAAAAAGAAAAGAAAATTGCACAAAGTGATTAACAATGATGATCATAAGATATCGTGTAGTGAAATAACTCAAAGAAGACATTTTTACCAAAAAAAAAAAAAAAAAGGCAGCCAAATACCCCATTGTTAAATAGTGTCACCTGCGAAACCCTAAAAAAGCCTCCTCCTCCTCCTCCTCCTCCCTCCCTCCAAAATCTTAATCACACCAAAAAAAATTAATTTTTGGGAATAAATAAAACTGAATTAATCCGAAGATCAAGCAAACCTCACGTGATCAATCAAACTAGGGACCAAGTAAGAAGAAGAAGAAGAAGAATTGACGGTCCTCTAGGAGTGGTGGGTGGTGGTATTATCATGGCGATCATCGGCGGCGCCTCCACGGTGCGATTGCGAGGCACTGGCCTGAGACTCGGAAACGCCAATAACAGGACGATAAGGGCTAAGCCCCGCAAGCATACTCAAATGCCCTTCATTCATATTATTACTATTACTACCTCCTCCGAGAGCACCAATCGCGGAAGACCCTAGTTGCTGACTGGGCAAGAGCGCCATGGGAGTGGGGAAGTTCATGAAATGCAAGCCGCTGGAAACGGTGCCGCGGTACAAGGCGGTGTTGTTAACCGGTGGGAACGTCCATATGGGATCGCCGCTCATGACTTGCGCGCTGTTGTTGGAATTGGCCACCATCCAAATATTGGCGGCGTGGGTGGATGGAACGGCGCCTGCACTGGACTGCAGGAGATAACTCCCCATTTGGTGCGTTGAGGACAAGTCATGTTGCTCCGAGGGTCTTCGTTTTCTGCTGCCTAGGGATGTATCGTCTGGACTAGTCTCCGACAAGTCCAGCGTGGAGGAAGAGGGGGCTTCGGCCTTGGCTTGGAGCATGGCGTTGAGGTTGTTGGATTGGAAATTGAGAAGCGTGGAGCTGGTGTTGGTGTTGGTGTTGGTGTTGGTGTTTGTGTGGTTTTCGGATAGGGTTATGCCGGGGAACAAGCTCCTACGTTGTTGGAGGGAGAAGTTAGGGTTGAAGTACGAGGATCGGAGCTGGGAGGGGACGGACATGGAGGACCCTGAGCTTCGGAGGGAGATGTTGAGCGAGGTGAAGTTCGCGGGGATGGTGCCGGTGCCCGTGGCCGCGATCACGGCGGG